TTGTCGGGACTGGAGTGGAGAGCGGGCGCCATTTTCTTCTAGTCTCACTGAGGGTGCTACGCGTTCTGGGCTGACTGCTGCGACGAGGAGGGCTCTCCCCCCCACCTACGGCCTTGTGTGTCCAACTCGACGGCAGTGGTGTGTGTGTATTGCCAAAAGTGAAGCAAATTACCCTTTGGGCGTTGGGGGTGAGGAGGGATTGGCGATGGGACGGCAGAACCGGGAAAGGCGGGGCCGGCGGCCGCGCCACACCTAACGTAGCTTGTGTTGTGAAGGCACTCTCTTTTCTTGGCAAACACCTACTCTCCCGTCTGCTGCAAGTGGTGGCGTGTGTGCGTGCGTGTGCGCGCTTGCTTCCCGGTGATCTTGAGCGAAGGTCTCAGGCGTTCCTAGGTGTTGTTTGCTATGTCATCGTTCGTTACGGTAAAAGCGCTGAAGGCCTGGTCTGTTAGCCTTGTGAGGGGCCTCGGTGTTTCAGTGAAGTGTAGGGCCGTTCGCTCGCTGGCGAATTTGGGTGGAATGTGTGCCCTGGGGACTGCCGGACCAAAAGTCCTGGGGGATGGGCGGTCGAGGTTCATTTGAAGGCAGATTTCTGGGCTGAGAAGTCCTGGCGGCGGCTTCGGATCCCCCAAAACTGGCCTGGCACGAAAGAAGGAAGCGCTGCGTCCTGGAGTGGCGGCGGCTTTGGGGCTGTGGCGTCATTGCCTTGGGATGGTCCACGTTTGAGGAGGAAGGAGGATGGACGTTAACGGCAGCCTTGTGCCGCGTGGGATTGCCTACAGTACAGCGGCTCTTGGGGGACCTCGGGGCTCTGTGTCGTCACGCCTCTGGGCTTTTTATTTCAACCATCGCCATTCTAAAAGGCAGGTCGTCAGGAAGAAGAACTGGTCTCAGCTCTCTTTGCAGTGGAAATTTGGACGTTTCGAGCTGAACGTGCTTCATCCTAACGTAAGGCACGCTGGTGGCGCTGTGTCAGCGGTTTGGCCGCGCACCTCAGGCGGCCGGTTCAAACCCGCATGCTGCTCCGCGGAAGCCAGAGAGGCTCTCAAGTCCACTAAAGCTTAACAGTCTCGGAAACCGAGGGCAGTGGTTTCGTTTTTCATCATAATTGTAGGTTAAGAGTTGCAGGCAAAGAGTGGAAGATTTTTCTTACCCTCACCATGTCCTTGTGATTTATTCAAGTGGCTTTGTGATAATAGCTTATTTTAATTCATTCTCCCTCGTAGACTTGATTGTTGTTGTTAAGTGCCATCTAGTCGGTTCCAGCTCAAAGGACCATGTATAGGGTTTCCAGGAAGCAGCTGATGAATTTGAACCACCGACCTTGCGGTCCATTTTTTATCCTACAGCGCCACACCAGGACTCCTGATAAGAAACCCTGATTATAAGATGGATATGTCGTATTGTATTGTTTAGTAATAATGGTAGTGAAGTGAGTAAAATTGGGAAGATTATTTAGCATGAGCTTACTTATTTAAGTAACTTGCCCATAAGTGAGCTTCTAGGGAACCTCTTGGTGGTTTTCATAGGTTTTAAAGTCTTTAAATCAAATTTAGGTGCAGGGTGCTTTAGGCTATTTTGTGCATTTGGCTTTATGTGTAATTAAGTGTTCTATGAGTAAAATTTAAGGGTAGTTTTCCTAAGGAAATAGCATTGGAATTACAGGAAAAGAGCTCATTTTGAGAGCTGATCTCTTATAGTCTCCTAGATGTGTTAATTGTGGAGGAATAAATGTGTACTTTGCTTCTTTCTCAAGGGCAAAATATGTTTAAACATTAGATTTAACTGACAAATTAGAACAGACTTTAGTCTGCTTGAATTAGAATTCATGAGCTACTCATGGGACTACATAATTAAATGATACTTTTAAGTTAGGATAAATTAGCAATTTTTAAAAAACTAATAATTTAAGTATTCCTTGAAACATTTTCCCGTAATTTTTCTTACTTGTGAATGCATTTATGTTTTAGCATAAATCACATAACAGTTTTTTTTTTTTTTTTAAATTTTGGGGAAAAATTATGTCAAGTGCTGCCTTAAAAAAACATTCTAAATGTGAAAAGGCTGCTAAGCCAATTTACCTAAGGAATTTTGGAACTTCAGTGTGGACAACTGTTCAGAAGCCATTTACTGTATAGTTTTTGTTGAAATGGTGTGGATTTTGGGTTGTTGATGAAACTGAGTTTCTACTTTTTTACTTTTTTATTTTTACACTAAGAAGGCATTTTTATAGTAAATGCAAGTTATTTGACATTGAAAATGAGATGTAATGTGCCAAGCAATTTCTTGATATGTTTGCTAAACTTTTAGTTTTAAGAAATTTCATTTATGGACCCATTTTAAGGGAAAATAAACCTTGCAGAGCCCACTTTGTAAAACAGTCATCATTATTTGCACATTAACAACATATAAGTGTATAATTAGTATTTATAAAAATTAAAAACATAATTTGGAAGATATCGTTAAAGGATCTTTGAAAGTATTAATAGATGTAGTTGCATTAAAAAAAAAAAGTAGACTTATCAGTAGTTAAAACACCCCTAGATATTTCAAATGAATGTACTTTTACTTTTCTACAGTGTTATTTAGATTTTCTCAGTAGAGTACAGGGTAGTTGTTTGATATGAAATAAGTTATTGGCGTAATGTGAGTCCTTGTGTGGCACTGTAGGATAAGCACTTGACTACAGTGTCTGGTTGAACTGCAAAGTTAGTGGTTCATATCACCAGCCACTCCTCTGAAACCCTATATTGGGTCCCTATGAGTCGTAACCGCCTCTTTGGCACTTAACAACATTGGTATCATAGATTGTGTATTTACCACATGATTCTCTATTTGGCTTGAAATGAGTTTTTAATATTATCTTAGGAATTTAAGATAAGGAGTATTGTTGAGATCTTTGATTCTAGGACTATTTTACTCTTTAAGGTTCTTACAGTAAACATTGGCTCCATAGGATAAGCATTAGACTGAACCACAAGATCTGCTGTCTGTCCCACCAGCCACTCCGTGGAAGAAACAGGAGACTTTCTGCTCCCTCAAAGATTTACAGCCTTGGAAACTACAGAGCCGCTATGATCCAGAACTGACTTTTCGGCACTTAACAACCACAACTTCAACTCTTGGTGAATTTTTAAAATACAATGAGGAGTCAGGAAATTTGGTTCCATGTTTGGAATGCTAACTGTATTTGTAGAGCTTAATATTGTATCCAAATAATAGTGTTGATCAGAACTTTTAAAAATGGTTTTTGAATTTCACTTATTGGTGATTTATTCATTGATTAATATAATTTTGAATGATTGCCTTTTGGATTTGGTTTTCTGTTTTGGAAAGGAGAATGACAGGAGTTGGACATCAGTATGAACTGTGGATGCTTTGACTTTTTGAGTAGAAGTTATGAAAGGTGTTTTGGAATTGTTGGTATTGACGTTTTGCTTATAATCAGTTTGTTTTAAATGGATATATAGTTTGTATACAGTAAAAATACACAGACTTCAAAAGCTAAAGTTCAGTGAGTTGACAAGTTAATACACCTCTGTAACCATTCCAATGAAAATGTAGGATATTTCCATCACTCCGTGTTACTGCTTCAAAGAGCCTTGTTTAGCAAGTTTTTGTTTTTAAATTTGCAGATGTCCACTTGGATTTTGCATTTTCTCTTGTGCCTTTCTGCTGAAGATGAATAATGAATTTCCACTTGAAACAACGGAGGTCATTGTAATACCCCTAATTGGGGTCCCTTAATGTTGCTTTAGGAGTCCTGGTGTGGCCATATGGGATCAGCAATGGACTGACGCAAGGGTGGCAGTTTAAATCTTCCAGCTGTTCCTCGGAAGCCGTATACAGGATCGCTAAGAGTCAGAACTGACTCAATGGCAACATGTTGTTTTAAGGAGCCTTTGTGGTGCTTCGGGTTAGGAGCTGGGATGCTAACGACAGGTCATGGTTCAAACCCACCAACCACTGCTTGGGAAAAAGATGTGGCTGTCTGCTCCAGTTAAAGAGAATTAACAATCTTGGAAACCCAAATAGGGCCCTATGAGTCAGAATCCTCTTGGAGACAATGGTTTTTACTGGTTTCTTATCTAAAGGTTAAAGGGTGGTGGTTCGAACCTTCAGTAGTGCTATGGAAGAAAAGCCCGGTGATCTGCTTCCAGAAAGATTACGTCCAATTAGATCCTACGGAGCATTTCTACTCTTAACACATGAGATGGCCTTAGGTCAGAATTGAGTGGACAGTATGGGTTTGGGGTTTTGAAAATGTATATTCCTAATCTGGCATTGTTTGAGATCAATTACAAGGTCCGAGGATTAATTATATTTCATTTTCTTTCCACAGTTAAGTTGATTTTACAGAATTAGCAGGTCTCCAAGAAATTAAAAAATAAAAATAAAAAAGGTAAGCTATCCAGAGCTTAAAGCTTTTCACAGAGGCTTGACCAAAAAAACATGTAAAATAGAATAGTACATGTAGGTATATATAGCTTCTGTTTTTATGTCATGGTGAGTGATGTGCTAGTGGTAGACAATTTATCAATGGACAGAAATCATATTGACCATAGATAGCTCTTCTAAATATGTAAAATTTATCATGGTTGGTTAACTATTTTAATCCACAAATCTCTTTCCTGTTTCATTAGATTACATGTTGCTAAGTGAGTCTTGGTCTTGTTGTGAAACAACATTTGGCAGATTTAAAAGAGATTTGATATTTTTGACGTTTATACTATATAGGATAGGTGATATGCAATGTTTCTTCAAGGTAGTTGGTTTACGTGTATGTTTAAGTGGGAAGAAGTTTATTCTTTGTTTTCTTAAGAATTAGACACGGTTAATATTTTGGTGATTTTTGTATCTTGCTATTTATAAATTCTGAAGGAGGTAGGGAACCAAGTAATTATTAAGCTTAGTTTGGACTAAGGCACTTCAAAAATAAGATTTGCTATTATGTGTACCTTTTTGTCTGCAGGTCATTATTGCTGTTGTTTGAGCTCAGCATGGCTGTAGTCATCCGTTTACTGGGGCTTCCTTTTGTTGCGGGGCCTCCGGATATTCGTCACTTCTTCAAGGGATTGACTATTCCTGATGGAGGAGTGCATATAATTGGAGGGGAAATTGGGGAGGCATTTATTATTTTTGCAACAGATGAAGATGCAAGACGTGCCATAAGTCGTTCAGGAGGACTTATCAAGGATTCATTTGTAGAGCTCTTTCTTAGTAGCAAAGCAGAAATGCAGAAGACTATAGAAATGAAGAAAACTGATCGCACAGGAAGAGAGCGACCTGGATCTGGGGGCGCAGGGGCTGGCAGCCTCTCTAATTTTGGTGGGACTATTAAGGAAGAAGTAAGTGATTCTGGATATCAAGATGCTGAGTTTCACACTAATGGTGATGATTTAAAGCCAAGAAGGACACGACCAGCTAGAGCCAAAAATCCTTACTTATTTCTACGGGGTTTGCCTTACTTAGTAAATGAAGATGATGTACGTGTGTTTTTCGCTGGTTTGTGTGTGGATGGAGTAATTTTTCTAAAACATCACGATGGCCGAAATAATGGTGATGCCATAGTAAAATTTGCTTCATGTATTGATGCTTCAGGAGGTCTCAAATGTCATAGAAGTTTTATGGGTTCAAGATTTATAGAAGTAATGCAGAGCTCAGATCAACAGTGGACTCAGTTTGGTGGTAAGGTGGATGAAGTTCCTTCTGAAGAACATTCTCCACCAAGAGGAATTGATAGACGTCTTCGAAAACGGTCACATTCAAGATCTCCCAGAAGAACTCGTTCTCGTTCCCCTGTTGGAAATTATGTTCACTTAAAAAATCTCTCTCTAAGTATTACCAAAAGAGATATAAGAAATTTCTTTAGAGATGCTGATCTGAGTAATGAACAGATTACATTTTTATATAAAGAGGACAAAAGAACAAGATATGCGTTGGTGATGTTCAAGACTTTGAAAGACTTTTATTCTGCTCTGGCTCTTCATAAGACTGTTGTACAGTATCGCCCTGTTCATATTGACCCAATTTCTAAAAAACGAATGCAGAAATTAATGGAATATTATGAAACAAAAAAACCTGGATCAGTAGAGAAAGAGAGACCTGGACATGTCTCACAAAAATATTCTCAAGAAGGCTACTCTGGTCAGAAGGTGTGCATTTATATAAGAAATTTTCCATTTGATGTAACAAAAGTTGAAGTGCAAAAGTTCTTTGCAGACTTTGCTCTTTCAGAGGATGATATTTACTTGCTTTATGATGACAAAGGAGTTGGCTTGGGAGAAGCATTGGTGAAATTTATATCAGAAGAAGAAGCCATGAAAGCTGAACGTTTAAACAGGCGAAGATTTTTGGGGACAGAGGTATTGTTGAGACTTATATCTGAGGCACAAATGCAGGAGTTTGGTATAAATTTTTCCTTAAAGTCTAATGAGAAAATGCAAGATAGTTCTGAGTCACATGATAGAGATGACCATTCCCATTCATTTGACTCAAAGGAGCCACCAGTATATTCAGTTAGCCCATCTGAAAACTTCAGGCATCAGTTAGAGGACACAAGAAAGCCAGACAATTTCAAGCCTCCCCAGGGAGATTTCAGACAGCCTGATAGGCGCCCTCCTGAAGACTTCAGACACTCCCCAGAAGACTTCAGGCGCCCCCCTGAGGATTTCAGGCACTCCTCAGAAGACTTCAGACGGCCCAGGGAAGAGCACTACAGGCGACCTCCTGAGGACTTCAGGCGACCTCCTGAGGACAACTTCAGGCGACCTCCTGAGGACAACTTCAGGCGACCTCCTGAGGACAACTTCAGGCGACCTCCTGAGGACAACTTCAGGCGACCACCTGAGGACAACTTCAGGCGACC